CTTAAGGTGAGCCATGGGGAGGTGGCATCAGGTTCTGGAGAAGGTCTGAAGTAAAACCCAAAGAACTGACAGTGTATGACAGGGTGAAGGCTTTTCTCAGCCGAGTCTTTGGAAAATGCGAGTGCAAGTGGAGGGCTTGGTTCTCCTGGAATAGGTGGGTTGGAAATGCAGAAGCTGTGTCTTCAAAAGGGTCCTCATGAAGGACTACCAGGAGGCACCAGGGTCTGCTTCTGGATTAGCCATATGCGTGGCTGGGCAGATGATAAGGATGATACCAGAGATACTGATGTGCAAAGGCCCTGGGGGTTCTTCCAAGTGCAGCTATGGGTTCTTCACTATAAATCCAGCCTCCTTTAAGGAGGAGGCAAAACCCAGTTGTGCGTGATGGAGAAGAGTCAGGCTGGTCACGGAAATGCTGCTTGTATGGAGTAAGTGGAAAGGGTAGGACAGACTTACTCTTGCAAGTGCTTTTTCTGGATATGCAGAGCCACACCATCAGAATGGTCCTGCTGCTGCATTCCTCTTATCTGGGGCTCGATTGACATGGCAAGGAAATCTCACCACTGAAGTAGCACATTCTCACGTGTGATCCTCCAAAATTAAGCAGCAGTTATAGCAAACCCGACCAGGAGCATGAGTAGCAAAGCTTGGCTGTCCTGGACTTTACTGAGAAAGGGGATACTGCTGAAAAGAAGGGGAATGCTGCTGGAAAAATCCACATCTGTATTCTGGGTTTGTAGACAGATGATGTCTGGCATGTGGAAATAAATCACACTGCCCAGTCCGAGAAAATGCTGCTGTTCAGCATGGTTTGTATGGAACTTCTAGCAAGTGGGATGTGGTACCCAACTGAGCTCTTTTTGGTGAGCATGAAATAGCAACACTTAGAGGAAAGACTTTGAGTCGAGCAGTAAATGGAGATGCACTTGTTGAACTTAGAGGGTGGCACTGACATCTGAGGTGAGCACCGGGTTCGCTTTCATTTCTGACAGGCCTTGAGGTCTGTATCGGACCTGTTTGATCTTGTGTGCTGAGGCTGTTCCCGGTGGCAGCCCTCCTCCTGGTTTGCAGCACTGAGATGGAATACACCAGGCACTGGGAAGTGGCTTCCACGGCCTGTTTTCGGTCCCAGCTCTGCCCCAAAGGTCCTTTTGTTCAGGCGCTCAGCTGCAGCGCAGGCGGTTACTTGTCGCATGATGCAAAAGAGAACAGAGATTTCTTTGTTGTGTGGGGCCCGGCTGCCCTGCCAGCAGAAATTGAGCCGAAATCAGCAGTTCCCATCCCTTTCCCTTTCCAAACCTGGTTCCCATTCTGCTGGTGTGCTCAAGCGTGAATTCACCTGTGCTGCTCCTGTGCTTCGGGCTTGTCATCCTGGTGGCAAAAAGAAACCTTTCATTTCTTCTTAATAATGCCTTAATAGCATTGTCTGAGGTTCAGACTTGTCATTTCAGAGGGGATATCTGCTCAGGTCGCTGCTTGCATAAACCATGGCTCTCGGGATCCCTCTGCTTCCAACTGAGGACAGGAGTTGTTGCTCAAAGCTTCTCTACGCCAAGAAAATCACCCAGAGCTGCTGGCTGTTGTCAGTGGCATGTGGGGCTGGCCGGCTGCTGCTGACATTTTAACTCTCCTCCCTGTCTAGCAGAAAGCACACTCAGCACTCTGTCAGGAAATCACTGGAGCAGGGCATGGAGCCTGTTTTGCAGCAGGATGGGGCTGGATGTGGTCTGTGCTGCACTGCCTTCCATCAGGCTGGCTTCATGCACGTGTTCACTGGCCACCATCAGCAGCAGGTATTGCTTTTTCCTTGTGTAGCCTAAGCTGGAAGAACGGGATCATTGTGGCAGCAGGGAGTGAATGGAAAATAAAGAAAAAAAGTTGGAAAGGAAAAATTAATAAAACCCGCCTCTTTTTCCCCTTTTAGGCCGGGTGTGCTGAGTGTCAGAGATGAAGGCTCAAGTGTGTTGCTTAAAATACTTCAGAATGTTATATTTTTTTGAAGCAAAAGCTCATTTCTAGAATAATTCCATTTGCTCTTGAGATTTAATCAGCTTTCAAGTTAAGATGTAGCAGATAGAAGTGTAAAGATAAACTATACACAGATTTGCCATAATGCAATTTTTCAGTTGTCAGCCTTGCCACAGGACATCTATAAATATTTATAGTAATGCTGGTTATTACATAGTTGTGTAATTCAGTACATTACAGATTTTATAGACAACATTGTCAATTTATTGTAAAAGCCCTTTCATTCTGTGACTTTATTTTCCACGTTTTAAAGGCTGAAATAATTATTTAAATAGGTGGATGGAAGGTTCCATTGGGGAATGAAATGAGGCATGTAGTGAAAGCAAGGAGGAAGGATGGTAGGGATGGCCCAGGGGCAGAAGATGGAGGAAGGTTTCAGTATGGATGCAGGAGCCCAGGCAGCTCCTGCAGCATGTGGCCAGAATATCATCTGTCCTGTTGGGAAGACCACAGAAGTAGTGCCTATGCTCCAAAGCTTAAAAAGGATGGACAGGAGACAGCAGAGGCAATTTCTGCCCTCCATGGGACTTGCATTAAGGTATTTAATATAGTGGCTTTAGATGCTTGCCAGCATCATTAACGTGTGCTGAGCCTGTCCTCAGCTGCTGCCTTCAGCCTCCTGCTTCTTGGTGTCCATCCACATGGAGTGGCATCTGTCTGCTTTCTGGAAAGGAGGAATTGGAGCCTGCTGGTGACTTTTTCTGGAGCAGCCACTCCTTGGCATGGAGAATGGGAAAATGCAGCACTCAGAGTGCAGTAAATCCATTGGTTCTGTGGAAAGCTTAGTGAATGTTGTGGAAAGAAGGTTTTGAGCAGCAAAAATGGCAGGTTTTCTGCTCTCCAAACTTTCTGATTGGCATTTCTGTAGTCTAGAGAGAATTTTGCAAGGTAGCCATTAGCTCTTGTGTCAGATGACTGCACAGCAGCTCAGGCTGCTGCTGGATGCATGCACTCCTGGGACAACACATGCATTTGAAAAGCCACATTTTATCATCTTTGTCTTGTCTTTCTTTTTCTGGTATTTTTTATAATGCCTGCATGGTTTATCTTTTGCCTGCTTAAAATGTTCCTTTCAGTAAATGAGATAAATCTGCTTGGTTCAGGAAGAACCAGCGAGTTTTGCTAACTTGGTGCCAGTCTGCTGCTGGGGCGGGCTCACAGCCAAGCTAGCATTTCAGGTCAGGTCAGGTTTGGACAAAGCAGAGTAACTGATTACTCTCTGCAGCCTTTTCTCCAGGTCTGTGTCAGTTTGGACTCTGGCCCTGAGGGCAGTGGGTCTTGGAGCAGTGCTAGGACAGCTTTCAGCGTGCTGGTTGAGTGCACACAGGCAGCTGCAGCACAGAAAGGCAGGTCTGCTCTGGGAAAATGAAGTATCTGCTTTTCAGCAGCTCTGTGTGTGCGATTGCAAAGGGCTCCTGAGTGTTTTTATCCCTGTAATGTGAAAACTGATGGCCGCAGCTATCAGCAGCAGGAAGAGTTTGTTAAGCACCCTGGGAATGCCAGTGTGGTGCTGGTGGAGTTGGGAGTTAGTTTTCAGCGCTGTCGTAAGTACGTGGTTGGGTTTCTTCCTAACTTTGACCAGACCTTTCCAATTACTCCAGAGCTTGCAGTGCCCTGAGAGAAGTGAAGTTTTGTTAACCACAGCGTGACTAAGGATCTCCAGCAAGATGATGCTTTACCTACCTCTTCATTTAGAGGTAGCTAAAGGGTGATGCTGCTTTAAAACTGGTCTGTTGCAATCATGGGGTAATGCCTGGAGTTAATAAACTGCCTTGATGTGTCATTTTCCTTGAACAAGGACTTTCTCTCCCTGGCCACTAATAGTGGTTTTGAGTGGCCTTGCTGCAATTCTCCCTGTAAGGTGAAGGGAGCAGATCCTGCTAATGGATGCTGTCAGGGGCATGAAACTCAGCTGTCACTTCTTATTGTGTTATCCAAATAGTGTTATATGGAAATGTGGCGAGATTTGAGAGTCCCCAGGTGAACACACAACACCCTTTGTGAACCTGCAGTGCTGAAGTCTTCTCCCTGCACTCCCTCCCCACCACCACCACTGTGCATCTGCCCTGTTGCCACTCAGGTTGGAGCCCCACACCAGAGTGGGTGCTGGTGGAAATGTACTTGGCTGTGCTTCTCCCTCCTCTGGAACTCCCGAGCTGACCCTGGTCTGTAGGCGATGGTGGTGACAGGAAAGCCTGGGTGTGAGGAGCAGCTTGCACTTGCACTTGCGACAGCTTACAGCCAGAAGTTGACTGTGTGTGCTTCCCATGGCGCTCCTTTGACCTATGGGCTGCCTGAGAGTCACCCCCTCGGCTGCCACCAGCAGCAGGTATCCTCTCCTTAAACCTGGCTTCCTTCTTGCCTTGTCCTGCAAGAGGAACATCTGGACAGGATACATGGTCTGTAGGTAGTGCCTACATTCAGTCTCTGTTCAGATGTGATTGACAGAGGGAAGAGAGGCAAGTGTCAGGTAGCTCTGTTTCAGTGGGAAGTCCTTAGGGCCTTCAGCAAATGTGACCAGGATCTGAAATCATGAAGATTTAAAGGGACTAAGTGGCGTGTTTTCCTCATACCGATTGCAACCAACAAGCTTATTTTATGTGATAAGTAGCAGAAACACTTGGTCTGTGAACAGCCCCGAGCAACATTTACTACCACCTGGACTTTTGGGAAGGTCCTTAAGTGGTTTTAAATGTGTATAAAGGTGGTGGGGAAGGATGGGAAAAGGAAGATGTCACTGTGGCCAATCAGGGCTGTTCTTGATGGCTGTCGTGACCACTCTTAACAGCATCTCTCAGGGTGGTGACACCAATGTCACCTACATCTTGTGGCTTCAGTGAACCCATAGGTCCCAAGCTGCTGAGCCACCATGCTGAACTACAGGTGCAGCCACCCATCAGTGACCCAGCCACCCCACCAGATCCTGCTTCTGACCTCTGTTTCCCTTTTTCTCTTCCAGGCACCTGCGTGAAGTGCAGCAAGGGGGTGTATGGAGCAAACCAGGCTTGCCAGGCCATGGGCAACCTCTACCACGATGCCTGCTTCACATGCGGAGCATGCAGTGAGTATCCCCTGTCTGGACTGCCACTGGTGCTTTGGCTTAACATTTTTTGGTGTACTGAGGTGGGGGAAAAAAGAGGTGGTTTGTGTTGTTTGTTTTTGAATGGATTTGAAGGCCAACAGCATCCTGGCCTGTATCAGAAATAGTGTAGCCAGCAAGCCAGGGCAGTGACTGTCCCCCTGTGCTGGGCACTGGTGAGGCTGCACCTCGAATCCTGGGTTCAGTTCTGGGGCCCTCACTGCAAGAGAGACATTGAGGTGCTGGAGCGGGGCCAGAGAAGGGCAACAGAGCTGGTGCAGGGCCTGGAGCACAAGTGTGATGAGGAACAGCTGAGGGACCTGGGGGTTTAGTCTGGAGAAGAGAAGGCTCAGGGGGGACCTTATCGCTCTCTCCAACTGCCTGACAGGAGGTTGCAGTGAGGTGGGGTCGGTCTCTGCTCCCAAGGAACAAGTGACAGGACAAGAGGAAGCAGCCTCGAGCTGCACTAGGGGAGGTTTAGATGGAGATGAGGAACAATTCCTTCCCCAGAGGGTGCTCAGGCATTGGAACAGGCTGCCCAGGGCAGTGCTGGGGTCACCGTGCCTGCCAGTGCTCTCGCCCTGTGTAGACGAGGCCTCAGTGACATGGGTCAGTGGTGGCCTTGGCAGTGCTGGGGAATGGTTGGACTTGATGATCTTGAAGGTGTTTTCCAACTGAGTTGATTCTATGATTCCTGCAAGGCATGTAGAAAAGGTATTTTGGATTGTGTCACCCATCTGCCTTCTGGTATGGGGGGCAGTTGTTTTCATTTCTCTGCCTCTCAGTTACAGACACATTTTCTTACTTGTAAGAGTATTTTTTCAGAGTAGCAGTGAATATGCCTTGACTAGCATAAATGTGACATTTATTTGTCGTGTCAGACTTTTACAGCCATTCTGGCCTTTCAGTCTGCAGACCCCAGGGAGGGCTCCCAAGTCAGTGCTGTGCCAAGGGCATTGGCAGTGGGGTCCATGAGTGCCAGAGACACCTTTTCACATGAAACTGCTGCATGGTTGATTCAGTGACAGTGTTTTCACTGCATATATTACTTCTACTCATGAAAATCATTTTGCTCTTCTGAGCAAAGCATCCAAGTGCATGAATGAGCCAGGGTACGCATCTCACTGCTTCTTTCTCTGGAGAAACAGAGCCATGCCCCGAGATGACGAGCATGTCTCTGCCAGCTTGCTTTCTGGTGATTGCAGGGAGGGACCTGGTTATTGTGCCAGGGTTTCAGGCTGGGAGCAGCAATGATGAGCCCTGAGAAGGAGGGGAAATAGTTCAGGTGGCCCCACTGAGCTCCCAGCCATTTGTCAGGTGCGCATCAGAAGGTTATAGAATCACAGAATGGTTTGGGTTGAAAAGGACCTTAAAATCATCCAATTCCAACCCCCTGCCACGGGCAGGGACACCTCACACTAGACCAGGTTGCTCCAAGCCCCGTCCAACCTGGCCTTGAACATACTTGAACTTGCTGCAGTGTCCAGCATGGTGCAGCGTATGGGTCCTTCTAAATGGCTTTTTGAGGAGTTCTGTGATGAAGCTGGGGTGAGGAACAGGCCGCTTTATTTCAAATCATAGCTGTGTTTGTAAGACTGTTTTTTCTGTTTTGTTATGTTTAACTCTAGGGCTAGTAGAATATTTTTAGAAACATAGTTGCGTATGCGGTGGGAGAAAAGATAACAACAATCCGTTTCTATTTGGTTTTCTCACAAGAGTCTTAGGGTTTTTCTCCTGTGTTGTATTTAGAGTTGTAAGCTCATCAGGTCTGCATGTGTTTTATTTGGAGCTGTAAAGTGGGAATAAATATAGAAAGATGTGTATGCTTTTTAATAATAGCTGAACCTTGAACTCTGGTCATTTCCCAGCTGTCCAGCACCAGCTGCCTTGCCTCACCTAAGTTTTCAGTAGAGCATTTCACTGCCATCTGACCAAAGATGGGAAAACTGAAAAGAAAAGGTGATGTTTGCATGTGGTGGCAGTTTCCTGAACGCTCAGAAGTCAGCAGCTCACTCTTTTGTCCTCTCTTATAAATGAATTCAAAATCCTGTCCTGCAGAGGGGATTCCTGGCTGCAACTAGGGCTTTGCTTTAGGGACCTCTCGTCCTCCGTGGCTGGGCAGCATCTGAACTGCCCTTGCACACAAAGCTCCTGTTAAAAATAATCCAGCAGCAGGTTCAAGCTGTCTTACATGTCTAAAATTACTACTGTGCAAGTGGTGCTTTAGAAGGAAACGCTTCAGATCCTCCTCTGAGAATGGATTTTACCATCTTTATGTGGAGGCCAGTGCTAGAGAGGTACTTGTGGTTGCAGAGGTAATCAGTGATTACATCTGATGGTCTTTGGTTAAAGAGGGCTGACAGAATAGCTATTTGTTGCTTATTCTAAAAGGCAACCCTTTCCAAAGGTTTCCAATGCAAGACAAAAAGGTGTGGGTGCCAGCTGAAGACTTAGAAAGATGGAAAGAAGCCAGATTTAGCAAAGTGAAGCCCATCTTCTCTCTTACCCAGGCTGTAACTGAGAAATGTGCTGAAATGACGTGCTGGGGCGAAGGGTTTCAAATGGAAAGAAGAAAACCAAGAACAAAAGGCTAGTGAAAACGCTGCTGTCACCCAGAGAAGAGAGCATGCCTCTCTGCAGGCTTTCTGTCATCCCTGGAGCTGCAGCAAATATGATGAGACCATTTTATCTGCCAGAAAAGCAAACATTTGTCTGGGTGGTGGTGTGTGTCTAGCTCAAATCACGTCTTGAGCAGCCTGTGTGGAAACACTGGTTTCTAGCTGAAAAGTAAGTAGTGCTTTTAAGGTCAAGTGGAGTTCAGCTTGGACACCATCCAGTACAAACTTGTCTTTGAGAAGTCGAGGTTGCTCATGATTTCAGTCCCAAAATTTCTGCTCTGGTAGAACGTTGAATATCTCCAATAAGTAAAATACACAAAATTACCTATTAAGGTAAAGCATACTGTCCTCCAGATATTTATATCCTCTGTCCTGCTGGTTTCATTTTAGTGAGGATTTCGAATGTTGCTCGTAGTTGGATTTGTGGCCAGATGTGCATTGGTTTCCCTGATACAGCAAACTGAGAGGGTCTAAGGAGTGTGTGTGTGTGTGTGTGTGTGAGGGATGATACCTCATAGCGGCAGATTTCCTACACCAATATGCATATGTTCAGGGATAGAGTGTTTTGTTGAGTAGAGCTATGCTACGTTACTGGGTTCAGTTGTCAGTGGAAAAAATGTACTGTTTTATCTGAGCCACTGGCATGTAATGCAGAAAATTTGGCTTAGAGGTCAGAACAACAGAATTAGAATGATTACTTTGGCATAAGTGTCTCATTTATCTTCTTGTTTGTTACAGGGCAGAGACATAAACAAGACAGCTTTTTGCAGAGGGGGAGAGGAAAAAAACTCTTTCTGCAGGATTAGTAATAAATTACATTTTCTTTACAGGAGCGCCATGAAAGTAGGTTAAAAAAGAAACTCCTCGAAACTCATACAACTGTTTCCTGAAAGCTCAAGGTGCCTGTTTCTGTCTTGGCTTTCTTTTCTTTTGCTTTTCAGTTTGTTGGACAAATAGTTGTAGTTGTCAAATGGTTTGTTACTCATTAACCATTTCAGTTGGGGGTCCCTTCCAACCCTAATGATGCTGTGATGCTGTTAATAGCTCCTCAGAACACAAAAGATGTAGGTGTTCCCTGATGCTGATGTTTGTTATTTGAGTAGTAAGGACACCTTATAAAAGATATAACTAGACAGTATTACTCTAACTTGTTGTGTTTTAGTGTATTCAGCCAGGCTTATATCCAACTGCTACAGGTTGGCTGGAAAACAGACCTTTTTAGCTCTGCTAGCAGCAAAATTCAGAGCATAAGGATCTTGTACTTGAGCCACTTGATCCTCAGAGGAAATCTGAAAGCTAAAAAAGTGCAAGGGAAGTGTCTGAGATGACTGTGAAGGAAATCAGTAGGCGAGGAAGGAAGTCAGAAAGAAAGAACTGCTTGCAAGGTAATTCGAAAGAGGTTCAGTGTTGAGCTACAGCAGAAGAGCCAAAACGGGGAGCAGATTTTGGACCCATCTTGCAAAGAGGTGGAAAGCTTGCATGCTTGCCAGGTTACAGAATTCAACCTTTGACATGGCAACATCACTGCATTACTTTCTCTTTTCTGGCTTTTGTAAGCTCAGCTGAATGCTGATGTCTATGTAAGGGTAACAGGGCTGCTGTTCCAGTGGCAGAGCTTGAACTCGCATGGGAGTTGGCTGTTTCTTGCCCCCCTTTGGGTACATATAAATACATTTTATTTAATATTTCACAACGTAGTTGTGTGTCATGTACTAAATGAAGTAGCTAAGCTATCAAAGAGGCATTATCTGGGAGCACAGGCCTCTGCTTGGGCTAAGTAGTCTGGCTGCAGTGATTATAAAGTGTGGCTACTTAGAGCAGTGCAGCTCTTAGTGTCTTTGGGCTAATTATTTTGAATAAGCATGTCCTGTATTGGTATATAACCCCTGGAACAACAAAGCCGTGGTTTTTATTGGCACCACTACGTAACTCTAGAAGTAGAAAGTCACCTTTTCCTGTGACTTAATGCCAGGCTGCAGGACAGCCAACCTTGCCATGTGCATTTCCCTGTGGCACATGTATGTGTATGTTTATCTTCAGATGCAGAAACTGCTAACTCTTCTAGTGGAGGCAGCATTTACTGTCTGTAATCGGATATAAACCCATGACACCAATCAACACACATAAGAAATGTGCAGATCTTCAAACTGGGGAGTGCAAAGTATTGCACTCAGCATCCCTCAGTAAAATTATCATGCCAGAGTCTATGTAGTAAACTATGTATAGAATTATTTAGCAAAACTAATGTCAGCAAGAATTCAGATGTGCCTGACTTTACAGTTTGGGAGTCAGGGAAGGCATCAGTGCATGTTTCTGCTCCAGTCTAAATTGCTGCTTTGTCCTCGCTGACTTTTTCTTCTCAGT